ATTGATAACTAAGTTGAGCACGAAGCTCCTATCTAATGGCAGACGTGCCAGTCTTATATAGAACCTTCGTTCTCCCTAGGCCGTCAACTCGCCTGTCGAGCTGGCGGTCCAGTCTTAGTCACGTGATTACATACAAGAGAAATCCCTGGATCGCTTAGCTACCCCAAACGATCCCTATTTGCTATAAGAAACCTGGATGTGCCTGTCGAGGGTTGCGCCTCTTATTATGACAAGTATCACGTGAGCACGTGATTCGTGACAGTAACACTTCTAATCAAATACTTAACCCGACTCGAGTACTAATCGAGTTAAGTTAAATAAGTATAATTAGGTAATTCTATTTAAGTTAAGTTAAGTAGTAGATTTAACTATTTAAGTAGTACTTAAGTAGTTATATATAACGTAACTATAATATAAGGAAGTAGCATATACCTATAGCTAATATAGAAGTACTTAGCTAAGTCTGTATACGCGGACCGACCGATCGGAGCCGGGCGCGCTACGGGGCATCGGCCGACACTACTCGAGTTACTTGTAAGTTAATTAAGTACTTGGCGAGTTGAGTTGAATAGCGATTTTTACTACTTGAGTTAAGTTGATTAGGTGTCACTACTCAACTCAACTACTCGAATTTACCACGCTGCTAGTACATGTCTATAACAAGTACCTTGCTATCTTGGTACAAGTATACCTAGGCTACTACTCGTACAAGTGAAATATAGTCATTAATCCACTTTGAGGATACCTACCTACCTACAGTAGTATTATTCTACGCTCGATGTGACGAAATGTGTGTCTACCAAGGTATTGTCCAGCTAGCTACCTGGGTCTCTAAGTTAAATAGCCTAATTACAACCAACGAATACCTCATGAGTGATTCGAGTACTTAGGGAGTTAAGTAGGTGCTACTACTTAACCCAACTACTGGAATTTACCACGCTAACCAACAACCACCAAAGAATATCAAGAGATGGGATGGGGCATTATATTATTCTTATTCATGCAACTATAAAAACCGAAAGGAATATGTAATATATCCACCATTAGCCAGCTGAGAAGCTAAGCGCCAAAAACCCCGACGCCTGTAAATGATAGATACCGACTATCTCGAAAGCCCAAAACATGAAGCGATGGAAACTCGCGATATGTACCGTACTTTGCAAGTCCCAAAAGACCTACATACCTCCCCTCACCTCTGCCTCATGAAAGCGTAAGAAGGCCCTGCCCTAGTCAACCCGTAAAGTTTTATCCCTATTAGCCTCCTCGTAGAACTCCAACGTGAGAGCCGCAAGCAGACAAGGTATACTCCCACGCTCCTTAAGCCAGAACTTAATCTGGTCCCCAATCTTGACCGCGAATGCACTATCCTTGCCACCACTAACTTTCATCGTCCCCCTTTCACCATCGAAAACAATAGAGTTCTCTTCATCCCCCCTCGAAGGGTAGAAGTAAGATGTAAGTCTCGTTTTCCCATCTTTCATGAATGCGACTTCCCAGCCCATGAGTGAGATAACTGCTTGCCGGAATTCGGCGGATTTGTTACCCCATACCTTTTTTAGACGGTCGTTGCGTTTTATTTCAGAGGCGAGACGGGCTTCTGCTTCTTCGATGGAGAGTTGGGCGGCTTCTAGGGCGGATGTGGGGACTGAAGGGACGTTTGGGAGTCCTTGGAGTCGGGCCAGGAGGTCGTTGTTTTCTCTTCGGAGGGTGGTTAGAGTGGCCAATTTTATGGCTTCTACTTCCGATGTGGGATTCTGGCGGAGGGAGAGGATGCGGGTTTTGCTTTGGTTTTCGGCTGCTGAGAGACGTTGTTGGGCGACTGAGAGCTCCTTTTCGAGAAGCTTGTTGGAGGTTTGCAGAGTAGAGAGGTCGTCTTGGAGTTTTCGGTTTTTGCGAGATAGTTCACCGATACGTTCGTGGTCCTCTGAATCATCACGAGGGCGTTTACTTCCAACTTCTGGCGGTGATGCGGATGCCGGTTTGGCCTTCTCTTGAGCTGCTATATCAGCATGGAGGGTTTGCACTTCTTGGCGATATTCATCAACCATGTCTTCGAGTTCTTGAATTCGTTTCGTCTTGGCTTCGTCGACATTTTCTGGCTGGAAGATGGTATCTTCGGTATCGTAAGTTTTCAGTTGCGCACGAAGATATTCAGCTTCCTTAATCGCTAACGCTCGCTGTCTCTCCAAACGTAATTGAGACTTGGTTTCACTGGCTGCGCTACCTGCAACCTTGAGTTTCTCTATTTGTGTTGAAAGAACGGACTTTTCTGCTTCGAAATTTTGAAGGATAAGGTCTTTACTTGACAATTCTGCTTCCAAAGCACCGATTCTCTCAATGGATGTGGCGGACTGAATGCGCTCCGCAACCAGAGCTCTAGCTAGTTCTTCTGGCGAGTTGTATTCGAATGAACCGTCAGGACCTGCTTGTCTCTGAAGATAAGCTGTCCAGGCCAACCTCTCATCCTCAAGCCTTTGTCGCTGTATCCTTGCTTCTCCAAGCTCAGTCTCAAGACCTTCCATGGAAGCTAACCTCCTCTGAAGAGATCTCTTTTCTTCTTCTACAACCTCCACGCTCTTATGCAGTCGTTTGTAATGCTTCAACTCGGCTGCTTGTTCTCTGTTGGTAGCTTCAAGAGTTCTGATATGTGTGACTTGCTCACTTAGTTCTCTCTTGATGATGGCCAGAGTATCTGCGTCTCCAGTCTGCGCTTTCAGTCGCAGAACCTCTGCTTCAAGGTTACCACAATTCGCAATCTTTTCGGAAAGTTGCTGTTGAGTCTCCTGTAACAAGTTCTCTCTCTGATCGGAATCTTGTTGCAAATCTTCCAGGCTTTGTTGGAGTGTATCGTTTCTGGTTTGAAGTTCTCTGGATCTTCGCTCAATACCGCGAACATTTTCTTCCTGCTCAGACCTCATATCTTCAACCTCCTCTTCCAAAACCCGTTTACTCTCCTCAATCTCGCGAGCCCTTCTCTCCAGGGCTGCTTTCTCATTGGTAGCTCCATCTCTGATCTCATTACACTCTTTCAGTAATATCTCATATTGTCTCACAGCTTTCGATTTCTCCGCTTCTGCTGCCTGCCTCTGTTTGAAATCCTCTTCTGCTTTGCGACGAGTCTCACGCAGTTCACTTTCGTGTCGCAACTTGGCCAGCTCCTCCTCTTGTTTGTGGTTGTCGATGGTATAACGGAGTGTCTTGACTTCGGCCTTCAGCTCCTCCAGTTCCCGTCTTCTCTTCTCCCGATCCTGGTCGGACTCGAAATTTTCCTTGCCATATTCTGAAGACGGCACCCGCGATACCGACTGACGAAAGTTCTCTCTCGATGGTGGTCGTCCTGCCTTTATCGGTTCCCCCGTCAAGAAGTCGAATGCTGGTTGGTTGTTTGCTGCGCGTGAAACGGCAATCTAGACCATACCGTCAGTCTATGCGCTAATTGTACAATCATTTGGAGGAATCGGGGGGGTGTGAAAGGGAAAACTTACGCGCGACTGGACCCTTGGGATGCTGGTTCCAAAGCTTGCGCGATGTCCTCCTTGACCTATGCTGCTTCTCCTTCTTGCGGCATCAGTACTCTGCCTGGGCGAGTGTGACGGCCTCATGTTAGTAAGCCACGCGCCCTCTATGCGCTCTGTTGTCGAGGTTGTGTAGTTGTCGTAGATGTATTCCTTGGACGAGAAGCTTCAAGCTCTTTGGGGAGGAAACTCTGTCACGTGTGTGCAGCTCAACAACAACCATGAAGAGCTCTTTGTTGCTATGGAAGTGGCTTATCGATAACGGCTCCAGTGTAGTAGAGAAATTGTGTTTGAGAAATCCCAAGCTGAAAGTCTGTCAAATGTGGGTTAGAAGCAATTTTTGGGGAGAGGTTCATTGCCTTATTCTCGGTATCTTGGTGAATTCTCTTTTTTTATTCACTCGGGTCTTGAGCAGTGGGTGCTAATGTCTACTGACTACCTAGGTGAGTACAGAGTCAATTGATTTGGCTCGGACTGTCACGGCCCGAGTCCGGAGACGGTGGGGTGGGGATGAAAGGAGCTTGCGGGTGCAGTTGATTGCGGATCTGGACTGGACTGAGCTGCTCTGACGAAATTAACCCTCTTTCATACTTGGAATCGCAACATCTCTCCTACTCCTACTCATGGCTTATGACCATTACACCCGGTAACCTCTCTGCAGCATCTGCTGCACCCAAATGAATACAACTCCCACCACGAATTCGGACATAGCAGTAGCTCGCAATGGCAGCCCTACACTTCCAGGTAAGCTAATTCCAGTCCGGTGCATGTGCTGTCTGGGAGCGCATAGCCATAGCAAGCTGCCTGCCACCTTGACAGGTAGGACTAACTAGCTGACACTTTGACAGGTTCATTTAAGCCATCATCCTTCGTCCCTTCTACGAAACCGACCGCGATTCAACTACCAACCTCTCCGAATTGCGAATAATTCGACTCGATCTCTAAATACAGAAACCCCAAAAGACCATGTGCCAGCACCAGGCACGTCATTGCCCTCCGACCCACCACCACCACCTCCAGCAGACTGGGAAGACAATCCAAACTATAATATCGAAAAATTCTCACAACTACCTCATACCGATTTTGGAGTCAATCAACATATCTTAATTGATACTGAATTCAAAGAATCGCTGCGTCAGGTTTTGTGGAACTTCCGTGCTCCTATTCGTTATGCCTTTGCTTATGGATCTGGTGTTTTCCCCCAATCGAAACCCTCTGTGACACCTTCGAGCGCGACCTCAATCCATTCAAAGCCGCCTCCTGCGGTGGTTCGAGCCCAGGGTGGGAATCCAAAGATGATTGATTTTGTATTTGGCGTATCCTACACACAACATTGGCATTCTCTAAACCTTCACCAGCACCGCCATCATTATTCCGCCCTTGGGTCTCTCGGCTCAGGTGCAGTATCAGCAGTTCAGGATAATTGGGGAGCCGGGGTTTACTTCAATCCTTATGTCACAGTTAATGGCACCCTCATAAAATATGGTGTGGTCAACTTGGATACATTATGTACGGATCTCTCCGAATGGTCAACGTTGTATATTGCTGGCCGATTACAAAAACCCGTGAAGATCCTCCGAGACGATCCTCGAGTCCGATTGGCGAACCAAGTCAATCTTATTTCTGCCCTACGGACGGCCCTACTCCTTCTCCCGCCATCCTTTACAGAAGCAGAGCTTTATGCTACCATTACAAATATCAGTTATATGGGTGATCCACGAATGGCCTTTCCAACTGAAGATAAATCGAAAGTTGCCAACATAGTGGGAAACAATCTTCCGCATTTCCGACGCCTTTATTTGCCGCTTATTGATAATCTTCCCAATGTAGACTTTGACGATGCCAAATGTTCAAACCCAGATTGGGCCTCGGATCCATCAGCAAATGTTCGATTGACGCAAGATATGAGTCCAACCAAACGAGGAAATATGGTTCGTCGACTGCCGAAAGCCTTCAGATCGAAACTTTATTTCCAGTACCAGAAGAAATATCAAATTCCCCAGCTTGAATTCAATAAAATGCTTGAAGCATCAAGTGACGAGACGTCAACCAAGATCAACCGACGAGAAGGTGGTGGTTTTGAACAAAGAATAGCAAGTGAACCACCAGAAAATCTTCGTGGGGAAGTAAGTGGCGTAATCAAGAGTACAATCGGCTGGCCCAGTACCAGTCAGAGCATCAAAGGTCTCTTGACTTCTGGGCTTGGGCGGAGCTGGAGGTACATGGGTGAGAAGATTGGGAAATACCAAGCCGGGAAACTGAATGCAGCAGCTAGTGAAAAGAGGGAGTGACTGTGGACAAATGCCTGAGACAATTCCGGGGCTCTCCAGGTCCTGATGGACGATCTTTATAATTTTGTACTTTGTATAATGGTACAGGAGCGGAGCTTGTGCTCAATTACATATTTCGGTGGTGGACTGATGCCAAACCAATTTTTCATTTGTTCAAACCGCCGTATAGGCGGGGGTTGTTGCATAGTTCCAACGGGGGGCCCATTCAGAATTCGGGCGCTTTGCCTAGCTAGGAAACTTCCAAAAGCAATTGTACAGATACCCAAGCGAACCGTTCGATGAGTCTGCTTGTGCCATTGAACTTGCCCTTGTGTTGCAGTGATTTCTGATATGGTGTGTTTCAGGGTAGATCCATAAATGATTTGGCTTCTTGCAATCTCAAATACTTGATGCAAGCTTCTCGTATACAATTTATTCTTCTATGTGAACGAGAGGATGTTATAGTATTCAATAGTTACGAGCCCTCTAGGAAATCGAGGCTAGATATGTGCGAAAATATCTAACACCCGCCGCTAGCCGTCCTAGGGTATAAAACTATCCCTAGCGCGTATATTTTCGTATACTAATGGTAGGCGCAAAACCTTCGATATTATACTAAAGACGTAGTTCTAATAGAGATATAACTATACTTACAAATATTATAATATAAAATCTACTTAATTCTCCTACTAATCCCTTATAATATATATAACTATCTAGCTATATAATAAGCAAGGTCTAAATAGCTTATTCTACCTAACTCTAACCTAATTATATAAATAATAAAAGACGTCTCCTAAGATATTTCTCTAAATAAAGAAATCCTACTGTTACGGAGTTGGAGGAACTAGGGGTTGATCACGTGTAGCGCAGCATGTAGTATGTGTCACGTGCGCGCTGCTGGCATCCTGTATTTAAGCTCTCGTTCCTCTGGAACTCTCTTCCTTCCTCACTTTGTTGTTCGCTCAATACAGCAGTTTCCGTTTGACTCCGTATTCATCACAGCAAGCAGTGGTTCACTCCACACGGTTACATTACAACAAAGTCACCTCTTCGCCTGGGAAGGCCTGTTATAATATCCCACTTTGTTTATTTGTTTTTGGCTGACGATAATCGATTCGACGACTTAATTCCGACTCGACATCATCCTCAGTATCACCACGTTATACATCCCTGAAC